TCAGTTGGAAGGTGTTGTTCGAATGCGGCTATGAGTCGTTAGGGCAGAAAGCGACGTCTCGCTTTTTGCAGCGTGAGACTTTTTCGCTGCGGGATTCACAGGTTCCTTCGTGACAGAGGCTGACCGGGATTCTCGCAGCGAAAGAGCTCATCGTCAGCGCTGCAAGAAGCGGAAGAGTAGCCGAGTCCCAGAGACCCACACCCATGTAGTGTAGCTATGATTGGTGGGGTATATAACCAACTAGACTTGGCTCAAACCAGCCTGCTAGCATGTCAGCCACAGCTCTGCAGAAGCCTATGTGCAGCTAATTTTTTTCAAGTATATGTTGTACTGACCCAAAAGACAGAATATTTAGAAGCGAGATTACTTCCCGGGTTTCGTTCAGTCAATGAATGCAGAGTCTCTTTCAACGCACACTTGTCTTTATCCAAATGAGACCTTCCTGACTGTGACTGTCTTTTACTTTTCAGGATGAATTGCTCTTCCGTACCTTCGTTGAGAAAACACATTCATGATTAGCGTGGCTCGGACTATTCCTGTTTGGAAGTAGAAATTACTTCGGGCCAGTCTTCCCATAGTTAGTGTAGTTTTTCAGTGATGTTAACAAGTTACTGAAACCATCTCATTCCACTACTATTTCAGCATTCTTCCATAGGGACTGCAGTGAGGAGTTGTTGAAACGAGTGCCGTGTGCTGAATGTTGGCCGGAAACTACTGCAGATTATAGTTCTATGACTGTCAACAAGTCAATACCAATTTATAATGAAGTAGGTGAGTGAGGTAATAAATTTCAAATCAATATAACAGGACTGATATCCATCGTAATGAATCCGCAAACCTTTGATTATTTGTTATTATTTTAACCTCTTTTCTTGTTGCTGAAGGATACCTTTCGTTTTTGAATATTTGTTTGCTACCTGATCATTTTAGGCGTTCTTGACAATGGCATCGGAGACCAAGTCACGCATGAGTCCTGTGCAAGGAGCAGGCGGCGCTCCCGCTGTGCGCATTACAGGTTCCCAGCCTGTGCAGGACAAGAAGAGCGGTGGATGTTGCTGAACGAGACTGCTGGACCAGACCGTAAATGCTCATCATTCATTTTCTCCGTTTATATCTATTCTCCATGCTAGGTTAACTTTACACTGTGGTCGTCGTTCTCCATTTCTATTATTTGCCATTCCCGTTCTGATGTTTTTTGATCTTGTGCTGAATTGCCCTATGGCACTCTCGCAGACAGTGGGTGTTTTGTTTGAGAGGTGGTATACTTGTCTGCGTCTGTTCATTTTTTTTTGCATACAACTGGCTGGTAGATGTGGTTAAAATCCGTCTGTTAGCTTTTGTATAGAGCTGCACACCGCCGCACTTTCGCAGTTTTTACCGTAGTTGGACATGTGACCCTTCTTGTAATCAACTTCCATATAATATAGTCGCTCCCTGATATAATACTTTTAGCCCCATTTTATCCATGAATTCTTCTTTGAAATGTTAAATTGTGATTGTGGACCGAAAAATGAGCGTTGTGCTATGTTTTTGCGTGTGAGGTTTTCCCCTCAAAATCAATTCGTATAACTTCGTATAATGTATGCTGAAAGACATAACTTGTGTGTTTTTGAGAGGAAGTGGATAGGGAGTTTAAATATAGAGAGGAAATCCTCATTCTTTCATTCCTTGGTTGAACTTTTCTGAAGTTTGTTACGCCGATTTCATTGATGGCGTGGAGCAGTTATTCATGCCCCATTCAGGATGAGTCCTAGCTTTGTTTATCGAGAACTTCAATAACTAGAATCCCACAGGAAAGTGGTGAGAAGATTGCTCCAGACTATATAATGCTTTCATTGATAGCGGAATAGGTCATCTTTTCTATTACTAGACAAACTTAAGATAGAGGAATCTATCGAGGAAGTTCATGAAATGTTGAATTGGAGCGTAACGAAACCTCTTTAGATGAAGGTTTTTACTTGCTGTCTGCGGTAGTACTGCCAAAAGCACTTTTACAAGCTCCCGCGAAATTCAATCCGGGCTCAATGATCTCGGCGCTAATGGGCGTTTTCATAGCCTGTCATCGTTGCGATTGGATGCAACCGAATGAAAAGCGACCCTTTGGGCGAGAAAGCTTCGTGTTAAATTGCATGGGCGGTGTGTATGATTGCTCTTGAAAAGTAGAATGACCGAAAAGCAGGGCATGATGAGGTTTGGGTAAACGGTTCGCTGGATTCAAGTTCTTGCCTAGAGCAGTTTGAATGAAACAATGTATTTACGCCATTGGAAATTGTTAAGCAGAAATGAAAGCGTGTTGAGCTTTGAATAATAAGTAATGAGTAATTTGAATAATTAGTGAAAACAGAGTACTGAGAGGGTGCCGCTAGATTGATATCGCTACATCCTAGTTCCGTAGTATACTATGGAGATAGAATTTTGTGAGCAGGTGGAAATATTTGCCGTCAAACCGCCAGCTCTATGCACAGTGTAATTCTCAAAATACTGTAAGGGTGACGCTCTTAAGTCCAGCACAAACCAACAGTTTTTTTTCTTTCTTCTACTATGTGTTATGTAGTGCCGTAGGCAGGAGTGGAAATAACTGCTAGGTTTACAACTCACAGGCTCTTATGGCGGTTCATGGTGTCGCCATTTAATTTTATCATAGTGGCAAAGGCGCTCTGTCGTAATATGTGTGAAGCTAACTTCAAGTAGATTGATACCGACGATTAAGGCAGGTCATAAATTATGAGGCGCCAGGATATTTCAGAACCCTTAGTGACGCTTGAGGCCAAACAAACTCTAGGCTCTAGGCAGTCACCCAGACAATCGGTTCTTTGATAGTTGTTGAAATTTGTTTACATGTTCGTTTATCGTTTACTGTGTTGTATATTGACACATTGGCTATTGCGAGTGTTTTCTACTATGTTAACAGAAATGAAATGAATGATACTTCGAGTTTGTTGTTGGGGTGGTTCAATTCCCGTATGATTTTTCAATTATCTGAACTGCTTTCTCTGTGACCTTGGACTCGACACCGCTGCTGAAGGCAGCCTTGGTGAAGGTCGGGAAAAGTAACGCGATCATAACCTGAGACATTAAGGAGAAAAATTATCCAGTGACAAATCAGCAACGAGTTGGAAACAGCCCTACTTCACGGGCTCGGAATGGGCTGTCGAATCAGTTTTCGCCAAGAAACCGCGAGAGTAGGTTAAGCTCCGTTCCTTCGTATGATGAACGGGTGGAGCGTAATTGAAGGGTTGCACTGAAGGACACACACCACTGGAAATGACGTGAACCGAGTAGGACTTGAGCGAATTCCATCTTATTATGTTCGAATACTTAGAAACTTGCAAAGTTCCGGTTCTGCCCAGGAGAACACATCACACTTCGAGAGGAGGAGAAGCCCCAGAGAGTGGAAACGGTGGAGGACGTGGCCCGTTCTCCGTGAGGTTAACCAGCCAAGGCCTCATCGGCGGGTTAACCTCACGGGAGAACATTATCGTGGTCTTCTCGAGGCCAGCCAGAGGGGTACTCATCCCGTTGTGAGATACCCCATCCCCGGTAAGTCTACAAACATTCTGACTTCATGTTCGCTATGACTAAAAAGTTTTCTTAAGGAGGGCATCTTTGTCTACCACCATCGCACAATTGATGGACGCCGAGTTCGCGGGCCACGTGTATTACCGCTGGCTTCGGGTGTAAAAAGCCAGGGAACAACTACAAGTTGCGGGATGAGCGGAAAAAGATCAGCCTTGGAAAGAGCTCCCTACTTTGAGTGTGATAGTTAGGTTTGACGAAGCGGAGCCACATATTGGGGATCCCAATTCGTTGCGCACGGTTGTCAGCCGTTGCAAAAGCGCAGGACAAGTCCACGGCGACATAGCTCTACAGGTAAAATGTGATGCGTTGCCTAAAGCAAGTGCACCTGTAGCGCTCATGAACGAAGTTCAGGAAAGGCAAGAAATATCGAGCGACCCTAGACTTGCGCACGTGAAGCCACGACAGCTGTGGCAGAAACTAGCCGAGAAATTCTTATTGTCCAGGCATGCGAGAAAGTGTCCTAGTGAAACAAACTTCATTCAGTTGTGCATATTGTAACTCAGATCAAAACGAGAAGAGGAGGAGATGCCACTGAGGACGAGAGAGGCGCGTTTCGATGGATGATGGCCGAGGGGAGATGGAACGGTAGGATGAAACTGATCTATGGCAATTAGAAGGTGCAGTTATACGAAGTTATACGAATCGGAGCAACTGAGGATTGCGGTCAATAGGGACGCCATTAATGCAGGTGCTTCCCAAGCACCTGCATGCAGGGTTGAGCTTTCCATGGGGACGGGACCAAGTGTCTTCCCCCCCCCTCCATTTGTTCCATAGATTCCTGAAAAAGCCACGATACCAATATTGCTTTCAAATAGCCAAGGAACTCCGAGCACTGGGCGTATGCCGGGTGTCCCCTGGGAACTGGTGGGCGATGTAACGCTGGGACCCTACGGTGTAGAGGCCTAGGCAAAAATACCAACCCCTTGATGGTGTGCCACCATTTTTGAACGGCTCTACACCGTAGGCGTCCCTTTACCTGTTGGCGCAACCCAAGCGCATCTCTTTTCCTATTCCAGGCCTGCGCCAGATGGAAGGCGCAACCCTGCACAGATGCGCTTGGGAAGCATCTCTTAGCCGCAGTGATGGCGGCCTTCTCATAGTCCAGCAGAATCCTCAGTCGCTCCGATCCTCCAGCTTCCCTAATGGCATGCTTTAATTTTCCATTAAGATCACGTCATGAAACGTTCCGTTTTATGAAATTAGAAGAAGTGAGCCTGCGAAACCGTTGAGTGTGCCATAATAGTTCCAAAAACGTTTCACAACCTTGTACATATTGGCATACAATAATCGGAAATCCACGGAGTTCGGCAACACTCCGTGGATTACGTAGAGTTGGCCCGTCTGATTTGTAGCGCTCGGTTGGAGATCGTGAACACCATCTCCAACCAGAGCGCACAAACCGAGCTGGCACGCCTTCTGAAACAGACAGGGTCAGTTTACTACCTAACACACGTCAGACCGGAAAGACCTCACAGCCGGTTCCAAAGAAAGTTGCCGCTTCAAACATACTACGCATGTTGGGCATTACCTCCACAATCCTGGGCGAATAGTAGATGTGAAGGTCCTGGGTGTGGTATTGTAGAAAAGGCGTGCCATCGGGTAACTCGGCGTATTCCCGCGGCACCACATCCATCGAGACGCGCCTATCGTGCAACTTGCCGGTTGCCCTGAAAGTGATGAAACTGATACATATGAAAACTACAATCGCACTACTGCAGAAACAAGGCAAGATGTAAAACCTAGACAATGTACTCTCCGCGACTCGTACCCGTCCCGGCAGAAGTGGTGCAGCATCTCCTCTCGTTTTTTGATCTAAGTACGAATAGCAAAACTGATGAAGTTGGTTTCACTAGGATCAACTTACTCGCATCCTGACAATAATGAATTTTCTCGGCAAGTTTCTGCCACAGCTGTCGTGGCTTGACGTGCGCAAGTCTAGGATTCGGCAGATATTTCTGCCTTTCCTGAAGTTCGCTCATGAATGCCAAAGGCTGCACTTGGCTCAGGCAAAGCATCACTTTACCTGGTAGACTATGCGCTGGACTTTGTCCTGCGCGTTTCGCAACGGCTGGCAGACGTGCGGCAACGAAGTGGGATCCCCGATGAGCTCACATCCATTCGCAACCTAAGCTATTACATATCAGTAGTGGAAGCTCTTTCGAAGGTCTAATTTTTTCCCAACTCAGTACCGCCACACTTGAAGTGTTCTGCTTACTTTTAACCCGACTGCGCGAGTATACGACGTGGCCCTGAACAGACGTGGGTCCTAAATGTTCGATGGGTTGATAGAAAACAGACGACAATGTTCTCCCGTGAGGTTAAACCGCCGATGAGGCCTTGGCGGATTGACCTGACGGGAGAACGTGGCGCGCACGTTTTCGTGGACTGAAAAGGAGCCATGTTGAAGCTTTTCATGCGAACTTCCGGATGTAAAACGAAAGTCACTCCGTCTTCCAACCCACCTGAGGCTCCTTTTGTAGTGGAGAACTCCCGATAATGGCTTATGGAACAATTACAGTGTGCCAAAAAGGGAAAGTTTTTTACTGTGGGGATTCTCCCTGAAACCAACCACTTCGTTATTGATGAGAGCTCCTAACGCCGCGGTGGGTGACCTCTCCTCGAGAGAACAAACCAGGATCATCATGCGAGAGGTAATTGACACCAACTCACAATCGGCAGAGACTGAAATAGAAAGGTGCGACTTTGAGCGAGAGTAAAGCATTCTTGTGCATTGCAAACCTGTTAAACGCTTCCGCTACGTTGATGTGTGCGCAGTTCCTTGACGTTCCATTTGTTCCATAGATTCCTGAAAAAGCCACGATACCAATATTGCTTTAAATAGCCAAGGAACTCCGAGCACTGCGGTTGGCCAAACGGATTTTCTTGTCTTCCCTGAATGTGAGCGCCTAAGCGGCTGCCGTTCAGATTCAGGGAAGACATGATCAAAGCAACTCCCCCGACACGATGCTTCTTCCCTCCCCCTTCCGCTCCCCCCCTTCAACCCCCACCCCCTCCTCCCATGAAACAATATTAGTCTATGTTGACTGGACGTCACGGAGAGAGTGCCTGTAGGGATAGCAAGAGAAAGAAGGAAGAAAGATTTTTGGCGAGGTAATTGATTTCGTTCTTTTTGACTGTCACTATGCTCACTACTGCGATTGCAGCTGGCCGCGAGATGCATTGCAAGGCGTGAAACAATATGAAGGAGATGGCAGCCGTCGGAAGCTGAGGGTAAGTGCACTGCTGATTTCTAAGCAATTCGTGTTTTTAGGGTCGTTACTCCAACTTGCCGTCTTCGGAAATTCTCTTGTATGTGGTGATGCTCCGGCGGATTATTGCTTCTCCATCGTCTGTCGCCGTGGTCTTGTTTCTTTCCCGTATGCTACAATCAAGCAGGTCAGTTTGCTTGTAGTTGTTTGTTTCTTGGATCGTCTCTGCTTAACGAGTCGGTGTACGACGGTGTTATTCTCGTCAGGAACTGCGGAAAGAATGCCTCAACTGAAGGAGCTCTCGTTCGAAGTTTCGTGATAACATCCTCGCGACATTTTCACTATAAGTTGAATATGGCAATTATTGTAAGTTTTCGGGAAACTATTTGTTGGGGTGCGGTTCACTAGGACAGAAAGCGACTTTTTCGCGTTTAGCAGCGCGAAACATTTTCCGCTGCGGGAACCTCAGGTCCACCGCTGATCATCAGTGGACCCGAGGTTCCCGCAGCGAATCATCAGTGGACCTAGATTCCCGCAGCGAACAATGTTTCGCGCTGCGAAACGCGGAAAAATCGCTCTTCTGTCCTAGTGAACCACATCCGATTTGTTGGAGGTCTTGGTAAATTCCGCCAAAAGGTAAAGTTCCATGTTTATGCGAAAGTGTGAAAGTCTTATGCAGATGGATGGAAGTTTTACTTTAACACCCTTATGGAACAGATTGTAGTGCTTCTATTTGAGTGCAATCCAGGTCGATTCTGTGACAAATACTGCTGAAGTATAGTGAATTTTCCAAAGACGTCACGATCTACTCTCTTTATCAATTCTTCAACCAAAATTTCCTATCCGATCTCCTTTCCGCATAGAATCCATTCGTGAAACAAGTCTTAATGCCTTTATGAAGTTGTAGTTCCTGTATCATATGCAATAACTATCGAAGCCGTATACGAATGAGTTGTCCTAACACTTCGTAGAAAGGGTCCAGGTTTCATAAGGTTTTGATCCTAAGTGTCTAATTTTTTTCCGCTCAAATATGACACGAAGCACGGGTTAATTCTTCACAATTGTACATCAAGACAGGTCGGCTCTTTTAGGTCCATCGTGGAGCGCTAACATCTGCCAATATAGTTCATGTCGATAGGAAAATAATACCTTCAGGACGACTCGTTCTCGCTGGAACTGGTGCGTTTCTCAGCAAAATCGTAATCTTATCTTTTTTGTCGCTCATCTTATTTCAACTAAAAGTGCACAATCCATTACGTCATATAAAAGGATACCTCTTAATCTTTTCCCTTCCCCTGTTTTCGGCTCGTAAATTATTCATCCGTAATCAATTGGACCCATAGGAGGACGACTTATCGTATTTCTTTAAATAAGGTCACGAGCTGGGTCTGTTACTTTTTTCACACTTTCTGGCGTGGCCGCGGAGAGCCGGTAGTGCTCGCGCACAACCACTCTACCCTTGAAGGCGGCCCCGACGCAGACGCCCGTTGCAGAGGGAGCAGTAGCATCGTGTTATTATCACTCATCTTTTCAGGTCCTGTGACGAGATATATCGATGATGTTCGTCGTTTCCAAACTGCAGCGAGGAACGGTATCAAATTGTGAGTCACTCTGCTACGCAAATGGGGAGTAGTGATGGATAAGAACTGTCCTCTGTGCAATAAAAGTAGTCTTATATATTAATAGACCGGAATCCAAGCTGAGGGAGATCTCAATTCTAACGAAGCATAACTTCTTTCATGCTTTTCCTTCATCATAAAGGCATTCAGTTTCAGGAACATGGTTAACTACGGATTTGGTCAACGCGTGTTTCCATATCCATATCCATATCCTATGTAGATGCCAACCAAGTAACTCCATTTATAAATTCGGTTTTACTTATGACATTTTATTATTTTGTCGCAACCGTTGATTTTAGGATAGTACGGATTTTAGGATAATACGGATTTTAGGATAATACGGATACTCTGCGAACAAGTTGTCTACCATTTACATCGGCACAATGGGTAACTGAGAATAGCATTGTTGCAGCAGTAAGTTTTTAATGATTTAGTCTTCACTTAACCCAAGGTGATTTCGTAATTTTTAAAGGGCCACGACTGTTCTCCTGTTCTATTTGCTGTTATCGATAGTGGTCTGAAAGAAGTTTTTAAATTGGATGTTTCATCAGAAAAACAAGTGTCGTCTGTCAACTCGGCGTGACTCAAGACCATCAGGTGAGGAATTTGAAGTATACCTTGCTTTTTGGGCACTGGGTCGCGTGGTGCGTGTATCTCCGCAGGTTCGAGTGGAATTCGGAAAGGGCGCACACATAGCGGTCGTCCGGCAGCAACGTTGTTGGGTACCCACAATTGTTACTCCTACTACTGTGGATAGATGGACTGTCAACAGTGGACCTAGTTTAGTATTACTGGCACCAGCCGTCCGCGTGCGTTTTTCATCCTTCGTCTACCTGTCTTCCTCTCACCTCGTCACGGTTTTCAAGGCCTCGTTTTCAATGCCCCCTCCCAAGTACATGAGCCCTACAAAAACATTCTGCTTTTAACGTTTAAAACTAGAACTGGATCCGGTTGTAATTTTGCTTCTGTTTCAAGGTTCACATCTCTCCGTGGAGGAACAACGCAGCGTATTTGGGATAGCAAATAGTGGCGTCTGCGTCCACCCTTCAGTGATAGTTGTATTTCACTCGAAAATCTGCCAACGTTCCTGTCACATCTGTAGTACTCTTGCTTCTGTATTATTATACTGTATTGTGTATTCATGATTAATGTGATATCTTATCTGTGATGCTTAACCGGTCTTTTGAAATTAAATCTTACGTACATATATGTTTATCTGATTATAAATCATTACCTCCTACGTTCCCACGCAAAAGTGCATTCAGTTTCCGTAAAACATTCTCATGTCTCATACACGACCACTTAAGAACCAAGACCAACGCCTGTGTGACCGACGACGTTACAAGTCTTACTATGCGCGTGTAATGAGGTGTAATGAACTCTAATGAACTGATGAAAAAAAATAAAAAAACTAAACTAAACGTGTAATGAACTTTCTATGCTATATCATTTTATTACTAATAAAGTATTGTACATAATGACTGATAAAGAACATTATTGACTTCCTATATGCTCACTAAGACAGACAGAGGCGTATACAATTTAAGGAGAATTCAAAGACTAGTTTTGATTAAACGTTCAGACCTTAAGTATATGCTCTAATTTTTCACTGGGATCGCCATCCAAACTGAGTGACCTCTTGATTGATAACCTTCTTGATTCAAGTGGTTTGATTTCACATTGTGATGTGGCAAGCTCACAATTATCTGAAAAAAAAACATGTTTTCAAAACAGCTATGGTTTGCAGCGAAATACAAATGCATTCACTGGTGCTCTTTGTCCTTACGCAGGGATTTCATTACTATGCATTACGACACTTACTATGAAGAAGTTGAGAACGACACAGTTTTGTCAATATTGCTCCCGGGATATAACAAGTTCACGTGGGATGGCAAAGAAAATGTAATTGGGGAGGCAAGACAAGAGTGCACAGACTAATTGTGGATATCACACCTACCACACGCAAGAAGTTTTTAAGATCCCAATATGCGTGGAAGACAATGCAACTTTACCTTACGGTTATCACGTGTTTTATTTCAGACGTTAGCAACTGCAGGCTACGAATCCTGCACCTTGTTCATCATCTCCATCTATTTGACCACCGAGCTCTCCAATATCCTCTAGAATCTAAAGCAGAAGCGGCTCGTAAAGAGAAAAGGACAAAATGATATCAGATATCTAGATAGACAGGCCCAAAGTAGGCAAAATTATCAAAGAGACGAAAACCATCCACCTAGCACTCGTATCAACTTTACCTTCAGGCTTTTTCTCTTCTTCTTCCTTCTGTTCTTGAGAAAAATTGGTCTTGAGAAAAATTGACGCTTCGACTATTCGAGTCTGAAGCGAATCATAAGGATCATAGTCACAGATCATGAAAGGAACTGGAAAAAACAACATCAGCAATTCTAAGCTACGCTGACAACTGAATCAAATGTCAAGTTATAAGGTTGCAATTCAACGATTGCATACACCAAACCATAAAACTTATATACTAGTTAGTGCTGTAATGTCTAGTTCTTGTTCCTACCACGCACCGTGCTCAAAGGAACTTCTGGATGACTCTGTGCAGCAAGAGAATCGTTCCATGCGCTACGGCCAAAAGAGTTATCGTGGACCGCAGCAAAACTGTCGCCCCAATCGACACAGTCTAAGTTGCCGCGCCCATCCAAAAAATGCCGCATTGCGGCGCCGCGCAGCAGTTAACGCGCGCCCGACGGCCCCGCCACGCGACCGATTCTGCTTGCCCCCACGCTTCCCCCAAAGATTAGCAGACACCGTAGCGCTGTCCTACCCATACCAACGGAACGCGGGCCGCCTCCCGGGCCCGCTCTCCGCCCCACCGCTCCTTTTAGGCCCCACGGGTACTGGCAGCTTGAGTGTGCCACATCTACCGCCTGCATTTTCACCCCTCGTGCACTAGTTTCTATTTTCTGTAGGTGTCGCTGCTGTTTTTGAGGACAATCCTGCCCTTAAAAATCTGCCAATCCTCTTGAAGCCACTTAGGTGATCACCCTTATTTCCGAGTGAGTTCGAACTACTGAATATATTCTGATGAGAAATCTTCGGAAAGGTTCCAGAGGTCCTCTACTTATGTTCTAGAACACTTTGAATGCAGGCCTTCAACAGTTTGAGATCGTGATCACATGACAATTAGCAGTTGAGACCAGATAACTACCCTAGAAATGTGGGCGATGGCGCGCTCCCTCAATCCATGGTGCATATTTGAAGATGATCCATGCCAGCAACCCAGCCGCTGACCAGCAATTTTTTGCGGGACGCTCCACCTGACTTTTGGGAACGTCTGTTGCCTAGAGGACGCAATAGGTTATTGATCACAGAAAGTAATTCTGAATGCGTGACAACATGCGCTGTACTTAGAACATTTCCCAATGATCACGCCAAGCCCTTCCGGAAGCTAGAGTTCACAATCTCACGTCTTGTGCTGAAACTGGCTCCATACAAGATCCTAAATCGGTACATTCGAGTCAAATTACTGTGGTTCCTTCGGGCCATCTATCATGGTTGCCGATTAGGAGGAGAGTGTGCACAAACGGCGGTCAATCATACGATTAATATATAGGGAGCATCCACTCGGCACCATATCAAGCAGTTTTCAAGACTTCAGTTGCATGCCTAATACACAGCACGGCGAGAATCTTGAAAGTGTCGCCAGTCAGCCCCGCGAAAGCCGTCAACCATCTTATTCACACACTTACTCGATAATGCGGGAAAAGCCCCAAAGGGCAAAGTCATTGCTTTTTATGGCCTTGCTGCGAAAACACATATCTGCCGACAAATAAAGGACAAATGTTGCCTCCGGAAGAGCGCCGATCCATCATCCGCCCTCGCTAGATCGCCACCGTCGCTGATCTCGCTTAGCGAGTGCTCACCTGCTTCCCTCTAGAGACCACTTCCTAGAGAAAAACTCCTTCGAACCGCCATCATTAACATCCCATTTATCTTCGGTTAGAACTCAGTGAAATTCTATAAAACCATCGATATGCTCCGAATGCGTTGGTTGACGTTCGCCCCTGATCAATAATGGGTGTGCACGTGGGAGGCTGAATGCAATGAATAGGGGAAAAAGGATAAAAAGGATAAAGCATTTGCCGTTGATCAATCCCTTTTTGGGATGCGGCACGCATTCTACTTCCATTTGTACATTCGCAGTGGCATTTGAATGCGATGTGGCCTATACAATGACTTGCGGGGGCCAGCCGATGTACAAGTCAGTGTTTTTATCCTCCCAGACAAGTCTGGTACCAATTAACCGACCCCGGAGGGATGGAAGGCTTGGTTGGCCCGGGCGACTCACGACCCAGGATTTGATCCCCGGACCGCTCGCGTGGTAAGCGTGCCACTTGCCACTACACCACTTCCGCCCTGAAAAGGGATAAAAGAAATAAAATCTTAACTAACTAGCCTAACTCCAACTATCTCTTAACTAATAATAACTTTTTCAGAACGAATTTTCACCGTTTCATGAATATCGGGCCACTCATAAAAAGTTTCCATTTCTCACGATCCGTGAAGGGAAGCGGGGATATATGTGAGCTCAGTCGACATCGAGTTTACCATACCTCGTGTTACTTCGCCTCTCTTCCCAGTAACAAGCTCAAGCTAGAGCACTTACTGAAGTGGGATAGCTGAGGAGCAGAATTTCCTCCCATGTCGGCCGGCTCATACTGCATAAGCGACTGTGTGAAATCCTGGTCAGTGCGGAAAGAAGAGTAGCCTAGGTCGAATAAAGACTGCGTTTTGTTCAAGATTCAAAAGGAATTGGGCGTCTTCTGCCGAATTGTACAAGGAGTCTGAACAAAGTTTGAGCAAAACCACCGTGTGGTAGGTAAGTCAGCAGAGCAAGAATTATCAGAGAATTAGCAAGAAAATCTTCAGGGGATTGATGAAACGCGTTGTAAGATTATTGGAGCGCTACAAGATCGCACGTCTCCATTTCTCCGTGGAAAAGGGCTCAACTTAATGAACGAAGGTGTGGCTGTTAAGACCCTTCGCGATCTTGGACTCTACCTCCTTGTTTCGTGCTACAGGTGATCTGGGATCGACGTGGAAAAGTTTATTCTAGGTGGATCTGATAGAAAAAGAGGGTACAGGAGGATCCTGTGAAAATCGCAGATGCTTCCGAGCAACGTTTTTTTCATATCCGGCGGAAAACCCTTATGGTAAGGTCTAGCCGCTCAGTTGTTGAACCTCTGAACTGCA